CTAGTTAATTTTAATGTGATTTTTTTTTGCTACTTTAAAATAATTATGTGTAAAGTCTTTTTTAAGGCTTAAAAAGTGATTGTGGTAGAAATGTGGGCATTTATTTTAAGGTTTTTCTGGTGAGGACTCAGAAAGGAGAAGCAGAGAAAGCTGTTGGCTATGTCGGCCATAAACAGAACGTTAGCAGAAATGCTGAGATGCATCCTGCCTGCAGGGTCCTAGCAGGACTGTCACAGGCACTGATTACAGAGAAAGTGCTTTTCTAGAGTGGTGGGAAGCTGGGAAGAACAGTGTAGGCAGAAGGTGGAACCCAGTAACAGTAACGCTGGACATCTACCAAGCAAAGTTTGCTTCAGGCAAGGTGTGGATGATTCAGTCTAGGTTCTCCTGGGTGCTTGTAGTAATTACTGAGCAGTGTTGTGTGGCAAAACTTTATGGGAAGACACAACACAGCTCTACTCACCCCAGGCAGGGAGTCTGTGACAGACCAAAATGTATGGATACCACTAAAGGCCAACATAGTGAACCAATGAGTTTTATTGGGGTTACTTACGGGACTATGGGATGAGGGTTTACTTACAGGAGCAGAAATGACTCAAAGACAGCTGCGTCACCAAAGGCCACCCCAACACAGGTGACAGCTCACAAAAGCTGAGAACCTGAAGCATACTGCACAGTCTGCAGGGTCTTCAATAGGTTGGAGAGTGTCCTTTCTAAGTGACACTGATCTAAACTTCTTCGAAACTGCTCTGTTGGGTGTCTGCCTCTTCCAGGCAGCTGGTCTGGTCCCAAGGTCTTCTTTGCAGTTCAGTTTCCTCTCATCTGAGAGAGACTCTCAACTTTTATTGCTTACTCTGACAGGGAGGGATAGAGTGAGTCTGGTTAGTTTCATGGACTTCCTGAAGCTATTTTGAATTGGTTGCTCACTTGAAAGGCTTGTAGGCAAGGATGGAATGATTCAATCTCAGAAGAAACTGTTACACAAGAGGAGAAAGACTGAAGAAAGGAGTGATTGGGCATGTTCACAGCCTGTCCAGTTTGCTAATATTAGGAAATGCATTGTTGAGAGTGGTCTGGCTAGGCAGAAGTGACTCCTGACCTTAATCCCAGCACACAGGAGCCAGAGAGGCAGGCAGATCTCTGAGTCTGAGGCCAGCCTGGTCTACAGAGTGAGTTCCAGGACAGCCAGAGCTACAGAGAAAAATCCTTGGGAGGAAGAAACAAAGAAAAGACAAAGAACACTTGTTTAAAGTGTTGCTGGACATTTTAATTGAAGAAATTAGGATGTGGTCCATAGGTAATGGATCATCTTAGATCCAAGAACAGAGAGGGGATCCAGAAATATCTAGGGAGGGAATCTCTTGCCAGATGGCATCCACAAGTTACTCAGGACACTGACAGGTTTTCTGAGACTGCCACACCAGGAGAAATGTGGATAGCTTGGACTGGAAGGCATACATGGGTGAAGTGAAAGAGCCAGATCTTGGAGGGCTGCAGAAGCAATCTGGAGAAAGCAGGCTGGTGGGTGCTACCAAGATCCCAGTGAGCAGGGTCTTCCTGTGGGCTCAGGAGACAGAACATCAAGCCACAGGGGATTATTTTAAGTTCCTAATGGAACTTTGCTGCCGGGGTTCAGATTTGCTTCGGACCAAATCACTCTCCAAACACCCAAAATAATTAATGTAGGAAGAGTAAAAAGTTATTTGGGAGGATCTGAAATGAACTGTGTTGTTCAGGGCCAACCCTCACCGGTGCTTCAGGCCTCTGCACAGTGAGAGATCTTTAAGCAATTTGCAGGGGCAGAGTCTCACCAGGCTTAGAGGATAGTGGGACACTTTCCTCTACAAGCCCTAGCCTGGAGGGAGTCAAGAATCCCTCCCCTAGAAGGGGAGGGACTTAGAGGCCCCTCCCCTCACTGGGATACATTGTCTTCTGTGATGTAGCTACTAGTCCTGTGCCTACACTCCTGTGATGAAACTCACTGGTACACACACACACACACACACACACACACGAATACCTTCACTGAGTTGGCTAGCCACAAACTATACTTTTCACTGAGTCTTGGAGAAAAAGACAGGAGCCCCTAAAGGAGTGGAGCCTTACCCAGGACCCCAGGAGGCCAGGCCCAGCCGGGACAGAAAGAGTCAGAATTGAAACACAGGAACTCCACAGTTGTTAAGATCTAAGCAGCTGCTGCGGGCCTAGCATGTGTGAGGCATCATGAGGGAAGGAGGGCAGGACTGTCACGCTTGTCTGGAGACAACCAGGCCCTAGAGGCCAGCCCTTCTCAGTACGTGGGTGCTAGGTATCAAAGAAGCTTAACAGGCCCCTGAGAATTAAGCCTCTGGTCACCCTTGAGTGACTGGGTCACCTTCTTACCTTCCAGCTTATCTGGGAGCAGCCTCAGGCTAATGAAAACACAGGCTGCCTCTGGAAAGCTATGCTTGGAGGGAACTCTTCAGATCACTATAACAAGGCTAATCCTTACAGCCAAGTGACCTTGGACCAGACAGACCCCTCTCTCAGCCTTGGTTCACTTGTCTGCAGAATGACTGTCATCTCATAGCTTGCTTGCTTGCTGGCTTCCCTTCCAGTTTTTTGTTTGTTTGGTTGGTTTCTGACTTTACCATTGCTTTTGGTTTTTAAGATAGGTTGCTCTAGATAGAACCCCTGATGCTCTTGGCTCCACCTCCCAGGTGTTGGTCACGGACACGAATCACCATGACCAACTAACCTATATCTTCTCTGACAAAGCACGGTGGCTTTGGGGATGTTTGAGATTGTTTACGAGTATGCAGCTCTGAGAAATATCTGTTATTGAGAACTGGAGAGGCGGTTCAGCAATTAAGCATGTTCGTTGCTCTCTTGCAGAGACCTGAGTCTGGTTCCCAGCATGCACATCAGGCAGCTCACAACTGCCAGTGACACCAGCTTTCCGAGGGTCTGCTGCTGTCTTCTGGTGTCTCTACAGACATTCTCACTTCCTCCCTCCTCCTTCTTCTCCTCTTCCTCCCTCCTCCTCCTCTTCTTCTTCCTCCCAAATTTGTTTCCTGGTTTTAAAATTTTAATTTAGCATGTCTACATGTGTGTGCACATGTGTGTGCACATGTGTGTGCACATGTGTGTGTGTGTATGTGTGTGTAAAGGCAGAGGATTACTCTGTGGCTCTCTCTTTCCACCCTTAGTGGATTCTGGGGACTGAATGCAAGTTGCCAGGCCTACACAGCAAGCACCTTTGCCCACTGGGCCATCTTGCTGGCCCTATTTTCTGTTTTCTGAGTAGACAATACACTCAGTCCTTGTAGCTAAGTCAGAAAATATAGGAAAGAGAGTAGAAGTCCAGAATAAAGAATGCCTGCAACCTCACTGCCCAATGGCAGTCAAGTGTGAGGGGGAGGAGCCAGCCTCCTGACAGTCTTCCCTGTGCCCTGTTGTATCCTTGGCTCTTGAACTGGCCTAACAGGTGGCAGGCAGGAGCTCAGTAGTCACCTCTCTACACACACACACACACACACACACATACACACACACATATCCTCAAAGTGTCCCCAAACCATCATTTCTGACCCTGAGGTGGGTGCTAGTTGTTGACAAGCTAACTCACCCAGCCAGGTAGGACTGCAAAGTGGTCAGAACCCAGCATAACCAATTCATCTCCTTCCCTCTAACCTACCATCAGGAAATTTCTCCTAGCGGCTCCCATGGACAGCTCTTACCTGACTCTCTTACCCTTTGACAATGGAATGTTTGGGCTTGCGTCCTTGTGAAAGGCTGGGGGGGGGGTGCAATTCCCATTCGTCTGTGGACTGGAGACTAGAATAAAGAACCGAGAAAGCAAGAGCTGGAGGGATAGCTCAGCAGTGGAGAGCACTGCTGTTCTTGCAATGAAATCTGAGTTTGGTTCTCAGCACCCACATGGTAACGCACAGCCAACCACTGGCATGCAGAAAGTGCTCATACATACAGGCCAACCATCCCCAGGCATAAAAGGGAAATAAATCTAAAGAAAAGAGATGCTCTCCTGGAGACTTCGAAGAGCTCTGGCTCTGCCCAGACCCCATCTCTGGCCCCACCTCCTGTATGATGAGATAACATGGTTCTGTTGTTCCGTGGAGTTCTGTCTGTAGTGCTTTGTTCTGCAAGCCTAGGCAACATCCTCACCCTCAATAACCTGTTGGCCAGCACTGCTGAACACGGGGGGGGGGGGGGGGGGACGGGGGAAGGGGCGGCGCTGAGCGACACGCGGCGGCGGTAGGTGCCCTAGTACTTGCGGTTTTCACGACCTTCACAGCTTACACCCACAAATCAGGGGCATTTTAGATCCAAGTCCCATCCCTGAGCCTACAGGCAGCTGCTCTCACTGGCAGAGAGGGGATCACACAAGGATCTCTGGCTATGTGGCCAGGAATTCTGGTGTTTCAGAGTATGGTGGGGGTGCGGTGGGAGAGGGGTTGGTATCACAGTGGGATCTGTGGATGGACTTGCCTTTCACGCTGTGGCAGAAGGGACACAAGCTTGTTTTCAATGTAAGGACATTGAAGAAAGCCACATCACATATGACTGACAAGTTCAAGTGAAAAGGAGACTTAGTGGGTGTAACCAACCCTGACTCCAGCAGAGAATGGGGAGGCTGGAGATCGGTGATCTACCAGGACATGCACTCTCCAAGGTCACCTGCCTGGCCCTGGAGTCCAGAGGTGGTTCGGGAGAGGAAACGTGTGCATACAGACAGCTCTAGTTCAAGGGATGACTTCGGGGCGATCAGCCTGGAGGTTCACCATTCTCTGCACCCCACCCCCATCCTTCAGGTGTCCAGTTCCCACTTCGGCCAGGCCGGCCCACTGCAAGAAGTAGGCCGGACCTGACTAAAGTTCAACACAAGCGCCTTGGAGGGCGCTCCCTGGGTGTGGCTAGAGACAGCCACGCCTTCCAACGGCGCGCCCCTCAATTAGGCCCCGCCTCCACCTCGGCAGGCTCCACTGATCGCTGCGGAGCGCTCAGGATGCGCCGAGTGTCCGCGACCCTTCGGGGCCGGGCGAGGCCCCGGGGGCGTGCTGGGAACACAACGCCGGTCCCAGGGAACCAGACAGGTGAGGGCTGGGGCTGCAGATCTCAGCGCCCTTTTCACCGACGGAAAAGTGGAGGGGCGAGGGGCTGCTGTGCTGGGGACCCTGTCCAGGAAGGGGGCGTGCATCGCACCGCCAGGGCCTTCTCGAGAACAAACTTTCTTCTTGACTTCCCGCCGATCCAGCGGGCGACCCCAACTGAGCCGAAACGGGGCAGCTAGCGGCCCGAAACCAGGCGGCGGACACCTTTTTGCGTTTGCACGGATTCGGCGACGGTCGCCCCGCGCAGACCCAGACGCCTGCGGAAGTCGGAGCAGGCTTCACCTGGCGGGTTGTGCGACCCGGGGTTGGAGGGAGTCATCCGGAGTATCTTCAGGGCTACAGAGTTGTTGTTATCTTTGGTGACTACTCCAGCCTCACTTTCCAAAAGGGAAAGTGAGCCTGTGAGAGAGGAGATGCTTAGTGGGTTGATCCAGCAACCAGGACCCAGGTTGCGTCTAGGCTGTCCAAGGTCAGAGGTCTCGGGGTGGAAGGGGGGGGAGGGAGGGAAAGCGGTTGTTGAGTGTACCGAAGAGGGTTCTATACTTGATATCAGCCAAAAGGGCGAGAAGCGATGCTGATGTCAGCTTTGCTCACTCTTAGAAGCACAACCAAAACCGCATTTCTCTCAGGAGCTCAGTCCTGTGTCTCTGTGGAGGGCTTAGCCGCATTGCACTGGAGGAAGCTGAGATCTGGAGGCACACTGCCCTCACCCTAGCCCAGTGGTTCTCAACCTTCGTGATGCGACCCTTTAATACGGTTCCTCGTGCTGTGGTGACCTCCAATCATACATTTATTTCCGTTGCCGCTTCATAACTGTAATCTTGCTAGTTATGAAGCCTATTGTAGATAACGGTGTCTTCTAATGGTCTTAGGCGATCCCTGTGAAAGGGTCGACTGACCCCCAGGTTGAGAAACCCTTAGCGGGTTTGATTCATTTGATTACCATCCCATCGTGCCAGCCCATTGCTGGCCCCACAGGTGTGGCAAGTTTTGGCTTTCTAAGTGTTACTCCACAGGAGTGCCTTTGTGTTTGAAGAGGCTAACCCTTGGCCTGCTACTGCTAGGGAAAAGAAGCATTCTTGTGAGTACCTTCTGCATAGTAGTCTGGAGGAGTAGGTGTCACCAGCTAGGAGAGGTGGATGGCCTTGCCCGAGGTTATCCCACGGCCCTGAGGTGGCCTGAGGCCCTGCTGAGTTTGCAAACAAAAGGCTATTTGCATAGGAATCTCTGGAGAAAGTCTGAGAGTCCAGTGTCTCAGTTGTCCCTTGCCCTGCCTGTCTTCAGGAGAGATCAGCGTTGTCACGGTGTGTCCTTTGCGCCCAGCTTCCAAGCGTGTCCCAGGTACAAGGCTCCTTGTTGGAGTTATGGTTGCAATCCTCTTACCTGGGCTGAGTCCCTACCCCTGTGCCTCAGTTCCCTTATGAGTTACTAGGCGAGTGCCTGTATTCCTGCCCCCAACTGTGAACGGGATTAGCAGAGTATAGTGAGAGCCCTGGCTCTTGAATAATAGCTGTGGGATTTCCTTAGCCTGTGGCCTGTCCTGTTTGTTTAATGGGCTGGGTAGGGAAGGGAAGGGAAAAGAAGGATTCTGAAGCCATGTGGAGATAGTTTGGTGCCATCAGAAGATAATTGAGAGATAAAATTATAGGGATGTGTGCCTCCCGAAGTCTGTAGAATGGGCCCATTACTGAGTAGGCCAGAGGTATTCTGGAGGTCTGTGTTCTCCTGTGGGTAGGACTCCAGGCAGGACTAAGAGTGTTGTCATCCCCCCCCAACCCCTACTCAGCCTGGGTCTCCTATCTAGACTGGATAGAGGGTTTGGCTCTGCTCCCAGGGCAGGGCAGCTCCTGAACTCCTTAGTCCGGGAGGTTTTCCAGGAACGCAGGGTTCCCATGGCTGGGGGCCACCTCCTGCTAACCCCAGAAGGGACCTTGAAAGGTACAAGAGGAGAAGCTCAGTGGTTAGGTGCAGGTGGGCCTTTTGAATGTGTTCTCAGTTTCATCACTGCAGCCTGCTGTGCCCATTATTACATAGGAACAACTGAGGCCTAGTGATAGCCAGTGTGAGTCAGCATGACGCTCCCCACCCCTTGCCACCGTATACACCCCAGACGATTCAGAGATACGTTTTCCACGGGAAGGGAACACATAGTCTATGGTATGGAGCCCAGCCTAGATGGCCTATGGTTTCAGGCCCATAGGAAGATGGGCTCAGAGAGAACAGATGACTTCTCTGAGGACACAAAGCCAGGCCATGGGCCTTACATACTCAGTATTAAGACCACAAGTTGTCCTCGATGCTGGTGTCCAGGGGTCCTGCTTGTTAGAGTGTCTTCGAATGGATAATTCAGTCATCTTTAAGAAGTTTGAATTCCATCCCCACTCCTCCATCCCCCATGATTCACATTTGCCATTTGGAGAGATGCAGACCCAGAGCAAAATTATATAAGGGCTCACTGGCAGGTGGGAACACAGGCCTGGCTACCAAAGTCCCTAAAGGCTCTGCCCAGAGGCCTGCCTTCCCTTTCTCTGTATTCACACAGCCTCTGCCAGCATAAAAGGGAACATATTAGAAAGGTCAGGGTGAGGGGGCCATGGGCTCCAGGAAGGACAGAAGATGCTGGCTCTGCCTGTGGTCCAAGGTTCCAGATAAAAGATTAACAAACAAGGCTCTTTCCCAAGGCATCCAGCCAGCCTCAAGGACTGGGGGAGGATGGTGCTCCTCCCAGATCTAGCTACAGCACCTCAGGGAGGAAGGGCCTGGGAACCGAGCTACCACAGGTGGACTGGGTTGAGATGTCAGGTGGGTAAGTGGCCTTGTGTGCCCATCTGTCCCTCGCTCTATCCGCTAAGCCTGGAGGGTCAGGCTGGATCACACACAATTTTTCTATGAACATTAATTCCATTCGCTTTTCTTTTTCTGTTGCTTTTAGCTCTCTTGAAGATTTACTTCCACAAAAACAAAAAAAAAAAAAAGTGGTCCCCAGGGTTACTAAAGTAAGATCTGTACCAGAACAGTACCCAGAGAGAGGGTGGAGGGTCAGATGCATGGACACGGCGAAGGACTGGGAGATATACAGTGTCCAGTGTCCTGAGACAGTACACAGAGAAGGTTCAAAACCACTTGCTGTCAGCTTAGCTGAGTGCCTTCCTGAAAACACGGGGTGTCTTCTAGCTCAGTTAGGAAGTAGACTGTGCCTGCTGGGTCTGGATCTGGAGGGGCAGTTTTGAGCAGTGGAGGGGCAGATGGGGCTTGATTTTTAGATGCCAGGTGTGGGAGAGTCTGTGAGGTGTTGAAGAGGAATAGCTGTGGGTCTGTAGGTTGAGTTGGGGAGGGCGTCTCTCTCTGAGTGAGTACATTTTTGTTCCCTTAGTTTTTGAAACAGTGTTTCTCTGTGAAGTCCTGGCTGTCCTGGAACTCACTCTGTAGACCAGGCTAGCCTCTAACTCAGAGATCCACCTGCCTCTGCCTCCCGGGTGCTGGATTGAAAGTTGTGTGCCTTGAGGAGGTCTCCTTGTGTGGCTCATATTGGCCTCGAACTCACTATCTTGTTTCACCCTCCTGAGTATCTGTGCCAGTATTCCCAGGGTTTGCAGGCTTCATAGGAGCACATATCTCTGCCTGCCCAGTGCTTGCGCTCGCGCTCTCTCTCTCTCTCTCTCTCTCTCTCTCTCTCTCTCTCC